TGTGCTTTAATTCACCAGCTTCCCAAACAGTGTAGAGAGTTCTAGCATATGCAGGCCTGTTATTGGCAAGTAAATAGCAAAATATTTAGTCCTTTTTTGTACCTTTTACTTTATTGTACTTATAGTAGAAGTGAAGCAGTAGTAGAGCATCTGTCCAAATACTATCTTTCACTGGGCTGCTTCATAGTGGAGGAATTCCAGTGTTGTGCACATTTAAGAAAAATGGAATGCTAGGATTTTATTTCTGGCACATAAAGATAGAATTGAATGACAATGCTGTAGCCAAATTGCGTGGCTTCTACTTTACTTGAACTTGCATATTCTTGAGAGGTTTTAAATTTCTAAAATGAAGTGATTTCTGATATTTCAGGTATTTAAAGATAATTGCTGCAGGAGAGAACTACTTGCCCTTCAAATATACTGTAGAAATGAAAACAAGGGCTGTAAAGAACAACTGTCTTTGGGTCAATTACTGGTAAGTAATCTAGCATAGTCATAAGCTTCCTTTTGAGTTAAAGAATGAGAAGAAATCTTGTAAATTAAAACCTCAGTCCATTTCTTGACTTGCTCACACTAGTGGTTAATCTGATTTATGAATGTCAGAATAGAGTTAAACTGTTTGAAACTCAGCTTTTCCATGAGCTATAAGGAATTGTAGTAAAAAAATCACATGATTGTGTGACACTAAAGCTCAGAAATGTAAATGCATGAAGCAAATGAGAACTGGAGGGAGAACTAAAATTGGGAAAAATCTTAATGTGAGGAATTTTAATTCCTTTTTTGGTCTGTTTTTATTTTTATTTACCAGTCTTAACCCTCTCATGTAAGTGGTGGTTTATGCGTGGAGTTAAACCTTTGGCTTCTCCAGACTTGTACAAAATAACTTGTAGCTTTGTTTCATGAAGGCGTAACATAGTAGTAATCTGGTAATTTATAGCAGTCTGAGGGACGGCTACACAGCAGTCTGCTGTGAGATGTGTAGGTACTTAAACTTGCTTTGAATGAGCAAGCTCAGGTACTTAAACAACTTAAAGCAGCATCTATGTTTATGTGGAATAATATACCTTGATAAAGAGTGCTTACCTCTTGTTTAAATAGCCTGTGTGGAATTTTGGACTCTGGTAGAATGCTTCAAGTATAAAAGTAGCTTGTGTACATCTATAATACAGTGAAATCTGTATGGAGTGTAAAGTCAGAAATGCATTCCTGAGCAGATTTGTTAGTGTTTGCTCTTGCACAATGTAGTGCACAAAAAAACTTTGCTTACTTTCATTCCGAGTTATTTGTGGGATGTCTCAAAGGATAGAAGACATGCACAAAACTTAGTTGGCTTGACCTTTTTTTTTTTTTTTTTAAATCCTTCAGATGCATTTGAAAACTGATTGTCAGTTTGAAGAACTCTCGTGTCCTCATGCTGATTGCAAAGAAAAAATACTGAGAAAAGATTTGCCAGACCACGTAGAGAAGACCTGTAAATACCGGGAGACAACCTGTAAATACTGTAAAAGCCAAGTCCCAATGATTATGTTGCAGGTGCAGTATTTTCTTGTGTACATAGAACAAGATTCCATACATTAATGTGGAATAATAACTCTTCCTGTGCTTCTGTGTAGCTGCCAGTAGAGTCTTGGCCTCTCAGCTAGAATTAGTAAGTCAAAAAAATAAATAGGCCACTTTTTTTTTTTTGCTGCAAAAACACCAGCTACTGCACTGACTGGGAGACATTTTCTTTTTTCTCATGTTCAGATACTGCATTTAAAAAAAAAATCAGACCCACTGCATAATATTGATACTAAAGTAATTTTTGCTATGCTTTTTTATTTTGCATGAATTGAAATAATAAATGCAACCACCATCATAACAATTAAATGTTGTGGAGGAAAAGCGTAAGCATAGCAATTGACTGGAGAAACGGCATCTTTCTGTATAATCCTTCTTGGATCTGTGTGATCTGTTATGAGAGGAAAGGAGGAAACAATGTAAAAACAGATTGTGTCCTGGCATAAGCAGCAGTGGCACGTGACAGGCCTAGGCAGAGTTACTGCTGTTCCTGGCACGCGAGTAGGTTGTCTGATAAGCAGCATGCCGTGAGTTAGAAGTATAGAGCAGAGGTTGAGAAAGTCATACTCGCTTCACATGTAGAATTGTAACTTGACTGTGTTTGCATTATTTCACATTGAACTGTATTATGCTGAATCTCTTGCTGTAATTTTGACTCTTTTTAAAAAAAATTCTGTTCACATAGTTTGACAGTCTCGGATCTTGGACCTTCTAGTGCAGTAAGAGTGATGTGAGCCTTCACCTGACAAACAATGCACAGGAACACAAATGAAAATTAAGTCCTGAATGATCTTTGAGCAAAGAATGCTTCTCATGTCATTAGAAAAAGGCATAGGTAGAAGCTCACCAAGTTCTGATTTCGATCTAGCTTTCAATTATTTGGGTGTAAACTCGTACTTTAATAATTGTGCATTACCTAGCAGAAGATGGCTGAGATGTGAAAATACACAGAGAAAATTGAGTTTACACTGTGTTTATTCTTGCACACTTCTGATACAGAGGCGAAACTGTATGTAGTTAGATTATGGATACTGTTCTTACTGAATTTTCTTTAGGCTGGGAATTGATGTGAGGCAAAAAGTGACATTAAAAAATGCGTGGTGTCTTAACAGACAAAATCAGTCAGTATTAAATACGTCTCATTGTACAAGCTGGATTTCCGTATCTAAGCAACATGCTCACAGGTTCCTTGTAGGCAGTTTCTTTTTATAGGAGCAATGTAGTTAAATTTTTGAGAGTCTGAAAACATCCTTACGTTTTGAGGAACGTAGAACTCTGGTTTAGTTTAAGAGCTCTCTCTTTTATCAAATGTTGATGGATTTGACATTTATGGAATCTTTGAACTAGCAGTAGCTTTCAAGATATTCAGAAGCCGAGGCAAGCTTTAGTCTATCAGATTTTTAATTCACAGCGAAACCTGTTTTAGACATACATGTTGGAAGCGTGAATGGCTTATTACTCTGAAGTACAGAAAAGAGCGTTTGTAAATAAAGTAATTGTTCTCCAAAATCTTAAGTGCTGGGAATCTGAGTTGCTTTAAGAGATAATAGAAGTGGCTTATCCAGAGAGCCAAAGAGGTTTGTTAAAATGTAGTTTTATGCTGATGTGTCACTATTTTGATTATAATACAGCTGGTACCATTATTCACCTGCCCTTAGAAGTTCTAAACAAATCTGCATTTGTAAATCAGAACATTTCCACAGTGTTACATGTTCTCATGTTATCATTGGCTTATATGTTTCAGTACATAGAAAAAGGACAGTTTTGCTTTCATGTTGCTTTAAGGTGCAGAAAGCCCCACAATGAGAAAATTAGCAATTGGCTGCTATTTTTCAAATTTTTTTCACCTAGATTTGTAGAAGTTCAGTGATTATAGAAATGCAGATGGTTTTATTTGTTGTGGCCTGATAAAATGTTGCCTCATTGTACATTAGTAATGAGAATCAGAAGCTTAATGAGACTGTGCATTTGAATGAAAGGCTCCTTTTGACTTCTAATTTGAGTTTTGTCACCCAGAGCTTGAGTTCATCTCTAGCTTCTGTAGCCTAAAATTTTGTCTAATGCAATAATGACTGAAGCAGGCCTCAGTGACTTGAACTGAAAATGGAGATAGAGGGACCGTACCGAGAAAAAAGGTATGCAAATGGAAACAAAAATAATTTTACCGGAGTACTTATGGTTCATGTCTTCATAGAATCCCATGACCCGTGGGGTAGGAAATCCCCATTGTTGGAGGCAGACTCTTTAGTTAATAATGTTAGTACACATTTTTTTAGATTCCATTTGTCTTGCCTGCACTGTCATTAGGTGAGTTAACTTCTTAATTTCTTCTCTTTTGTTTAAACCATCTAAAAGTTGGGGTTGTAACTCCTGGCAGATAAAGAAGGTGCATTGTTAAAACAGAAATTAGTAGCCTGAAATGCTTCTGAATTATTGTATTTTTCTGTGGATAATCCACAAAACTACTTGGAAGTGCTTCTTTTATAAAATTGATACTTGGGCAGTAGTAGTATGATGCAGATGTGGAAGGACAGCATTACTTAGTGCCTAGGCTCTTCACTACCACCCTGGCCACAACAGGGTGCCCTAGGCAGACCCCACCAAGACAATCTGGGCTCTACCCAGTAGTCTGAGATACCACTGAGCTGACTGGGACAGCCACTGGGGAAGACATGAGACATTGCCTTCTTGCTCCCTTGCCACTGCTCTGGAACCAGATACGTTCCCACTGTGGCACTGGCTTCTATGGGGAGCCATATTAATATCCTGGCCGCTCCTCACCTGTGCCAGGTGCCCTGCATGTGGCATCACCCATGTTTTATGATGCATTTGGGTTTGTGTGCTGGACTGGGTGAATTTAGCTGGTTGGTAGGAAGAGGGTTCTGTCACTGGAATGGGATTAGGGTGGTATATCCTGAAGTAATTGGAAAGGCTCCCCTTGGTTCCAGAGGGTGGGCCCTGGGATGTAGAGTGAGGAGGAGAACTGGAGAGGGCTGAGAAGCTGCATGGTGGCTTTTTATCTCTAATCGAGAGTCAGTGTCATCACCTTTGCCAGACTGGGCAGGTTAGAGGAGAGAATGAGTTAAAATCAGGGAATGAATGTTAGAAGGGAGTATTATTTTTCTAGTTTTGTAGTTGATAAACCATTAAAGAAGTTTGTAGGGCAGTAGGCTCACAAAGCTATGTGGTAGCGTGTGATGTCTCTCTTCAACCCGATTACAGATGTGTTCAGAATGAGGGGGGGCCCAGGCCCAGTTCTTGAGACTGAGCAGAAATGGCCCCGTGAGCCATTGCTGATCAGAAGAGTACGATAGTCACCCTGACAGAGGTTACTCTGGGGAGAGATGATGTGGGTCTGTAGCATTGCTCCTGGTTGGGTGTCCATGGGTGGGGAGGGACTGAAGCTAGCTCCTCACCCCCACATTTTGGGAGGCTGTCCCAGCTCTGTGGCTAAGGAGCAATTTAGGCTTCCTTGCTTTCTGTCACTGTGCCTGCCTACATGTGCTACGCCAAGTGAATTAGTGAGAGTAAGAAGGATGGCAGGATAGACCTGCTTCAGAACAGCATACCTGATGATCTGTTTTTAAAAGCAAGGAGGTATACATTTTCAGATATTTGCAGATTTATGACAGAGTTCTGAACCAAGGCCTTTCATATCTTGGAGATTGGGTCTCCTTTATGTCTTGGTTTTGTTTCAAAAAATAGACATAATATCGGGGCAAAAAAGGCATGCTATTTGTTCTTCCTTTTCTAACAGGCTTATAAATCTAGACCTTTGTTTCCTTTGCTTTTCTTAAGTACCAGAAATGAAACAGTTTGTTTCAAGTTGAATGGGACCTGTCACTTGACATGAAACAAAATTTTTTTTCTTTTCCAGATTTTTCATTTTGTTGAGAAAAACTGAGAAGAAATATAAATTCAGTTAGCTTGGGCCTGATTTTCTTCCCTCCGTATGGTGATACGGTTTGACAGCTATACTGAAGTACCTATCGTCATCTAGGTTCAGATCAAAATGCCTGCTCAGCATCATGATAAAATTTCAACATCTCTTTGAACTTTGGGTGTATAACAGTGAGACTTAGTATCAGACGTCTGGGAATCAGAATTAGAAAAGAATTGGAAGGGGAATATCCATACATAGGAAAGAGATTTTCTGAGCATGGGCAATGCACATTTTTTTTAAGAGCTTTTTCCATGCACTGTATAACCTTACTGAAAAGGACATTTGCAGTGGTTCTGCTCACTTTTAAAGATGCCTGGTTTTGTGAGTAATTCTTGGGGAAGAAAACTTAACTTTTATCATTGTTTCATTGCACCAAGTGAAAACAATAAAATGGGAAGCAAATCGGTTTACTCTGTGTGGGAAAACACAAGAAAACCCTTATTTTGCTTCAGAATATCAACACATCTATTGAAAGCATAAACTGATGTTTGAGCAGTTGCGGTTCTGTAACTCTGCACAATTGGGATAAACATTAAAAAAATCTTGTGTGTTTCTTTTAATTATTGTAGGCTGCTTTTCTTTGCAGGTAAGTCCTCTCTTTAATTTCAGAGTCAGAGTGATTTGTGGTTTGTTTGCTTTTTCCTCTGTAGAAACATGAAGATACAGACTGCCCGTGTGTCATGGTTTCATGTCCTTATAAATGTAGTGTTAAAACACTCATGAGGAGCGAGGTAAGAAGTCATGCCCAGTGTTGTGCTGAAAAATTAAATAATTTTTTTAGTAAGATCTCGCAAGAATTTTGCCAGAAGCCATTTACTTATTAAAATGTGAGATCTAAAGAAAAGCTTTTTCTACCACACAGTTAAGTGTGATAACACTCAAATATTTCTAACGATTTCTTGAAAAATTATTTTAAAAGAAGTAATTTCATAGTTTTGTGTCATTATTACACTTGGCTTGCCCAAGATTAGCGCATGTCTTTCCTGCTTTCATTTTTACTAGCTTTCCCCCTTCCCTTCCCCCATTTGAAGCATTTGTTGAGCACAGTAGAGCAGCATCTTGAGGTAGTTAGCATATATTAAAATTGACAAGAATTAGTAAAGACTAGGAAAATCATAAACGTGTAGAATCATTCCATGGAAAAACTTAAGTTACAATTAAATCTGTTAAATTTGGGAAAAAATAATAACTGACACTTAAAGAATTAGTGTAAGATAAAGGGTAATACGAGTACAGCATTCCAATAGCCCGATGCAACAACGCATAAAAATTTCTCTTAATGTGTCAAAGTGCTTGCAGTAATATACAGACCAGATTAAAAAAAATTAAAACCTGTGTTGTTTGAACAGATCCATGTTCTTGTACATAAATGGATATAAGTAGCATCTGTCAAAGTTGATGTGCGTTATTTTTTCCTAAAAATAGAACTTACCAAGGATGGGGAAGAGCTCATTTAAGTCTTCAGGACTCTATAAGCCTCACTTAAGGAGAGTTAAGTTTCTGATCTGAGGATAAGCTTTTCTCTTTTCACTGATACTTATTTCCTGAGTTGGATTCATACTATTTTTCAGTTACACTTGTAAATTATCAATCATGTGATAGTGCACAAGGCACATAAGGCACCTGCCAAACACAGGGGCAGTCTTTTCCCCCAGCATAATGAAATACAAAATGTATGATAAATACTGAACCTATTAACAGAAATTGAGTTGCTAAGAAAAGAGAAAATATGTATACTGAGCCAATTCTATCAGTGCTTACTTCTGAGTTTAGATCCTGGTTCTGGAGCACTAGAGCATAGTCTCAAATCTTGACTTCAGCAGTTAAAGTAAGAAGAAGAGGTATATCTGAGTGCTAATAAGAATGGACCCATTAAAGCCTAGGTCGTTACACCTATAGTCAGAATTGGGTTCTGAAACTATTGGTAGAATCAGAACTTTAAACAGTCATCTTGCCCTGCATCATCTGTTGCTGTATGTTGCTTAATTTTTTTCTGATACTGTGAAAATATATTATTACTTAGCTGCATGGTTAGGGACAATGACTCTAATGCAGAAAATGGGAAAATGCCTGCCTAACAGTTTGAGAAAATTCTGTAGTGTACCACAAGTGAATATCTTACTGTAGAATAAAAGGCAATTTTTTGTGTTTAATTCGTAACTCTTTGGCAGACTTCTAGTTTTGAGAAGTTGAAAATGTGGCATTCTTGTAAAGCCTGTTACACCACATGTCTCTTTCTTATTTGGACTGACTTTTTTTTCTGAAGCACATGTCTTTTGAAGCTATACTGTGAATTTCTACAGATAGTGTTTAGAACATCATAGGTGTATATCAGAGATGAGTGACCGAATGCATCTTGGTACCTGATTTTTAAAGACTGTCCTGTCTGTTCCAGAGCGACATGTTCAAAGCAGAATTGGTTCACCACTTCTTTCCATGGAGGTGGTTGAGCTGAGTCATGTGGGGCTTATGGTGTGGGAATTTCAAAAGAGATTTTGAAACCCAAGAGGGTGATGCCAGCTGAGGAGCTAGGCTCTAGCTCCTGTCTGCTTTGTGGGCAATACAAACTGCAGATCCTGTTTTTGAAGAGAGAGTGTTTGTTGCACTACCCCTCCCAAAAATGGCTCTTTGCTCCAACTTTTAGGCAGTTTGCATCCAGTTGCTGCCCTCTGTGCTGCAATGGCTGCTGTCTGTATATATGTATATGCTTCTGTGAATTGGTTTATTTTTAAATGAAAAGTGGTCTGTGCTCGTAATAATCCGATATTGGAATAAATCTCAATCTGTGAAAAATGCAGGCATTTTACTAATCAGTATTAATCCTGTGTACTGCATTTTTTTAAAGTTACTTAATTGTACCTATTCTAAAACTCTTTGTCTGTTTCATGCAGTACTTGTTAGTCTTTTTTGTGTAATTTAACGTTAAATTTGGGCACGGAGAATTGCATGTTATGTTTTGAAAAATTGGTTCCTCATGAAATTAGGGTTAGAAAAAATGTACTTTATACTACAGTGAAACTGATCTTAAGACTTGCTCAGAACACTAGTAAAAAACTGGCCTGTTGAGAAGAGATTGTCATTCACTAAAGTCAAATGAAATCATATAAATAATTGTAGAGTGTGTTCTTTTTGTTCACTTTTCCAAATTGGATTGCCTATTGAAATAGTCTTTAGTAGAAGTTTCACTGTATATTAAATGTATCACACTGTATACTGTATTGGCATGTGCGTGTGGTTTACATATGTGTATATATAGTATTTGCACTTTAGGTCAGACTGGAGAAAATATACACACGTGTATTGTATGTTCTGCAACCGGCACACAATACAAACCTGATAACCTGTGCCCTTTATGTTTTGAGCATTATCATGCAAACGTCTTTTGCCAAAACTCACATTTTTTTCCTATTGCAGTTGAATGCACATTTGTCAGAATGTATTAATGCCCCAAGTACCTGTAGTTTTAAGCGTTATGGCTGCACTTTTCAGGTCAGTATATAACAATTATACTTCCCAATTGATGAAAGTCTGCAAATAGAACCTAACTCTTTGACGTGAAAGTTCTGGACTTCTTTAGTCTTGGTTAAGGAAAAGTCATCCAGTTGCACCAAATGATTATGCAGCAGATGTTTGGTTTTCCATTTAAAAAATAAACAATATGAAAAGCCCACACATTCCTGCAGTGGTTTGGGAGTTCAGTTATTTAGTTACTTCTTGTTGAAATAGGAAGATGATACATTTGAAGAACTCTTAAACTTAGAATAAGAGGAAAGACACTTTTATTCTTCAGAAAATAGACTAGTAACTTCAGTTGTTTCTATGAAAGTATTTATTTTCTTGAGCTAAGTATGTTTATATTTTCTCTCATTTGTGTGTCTTAATATTTTTATTAAGGTTAAACATAGGTTAGCACACTTAAAACACGTATTTTTATGTGCATTCATATGTCTGTGTGCACACAGGTGTATAATCAAAGCACAGCATGAAATTTATTTATTTTAAAAAAAAAAAAAGTTCTAGATTTTAATCCTGGCAATCCCTGCGATATTTTAAAAATAATTAAAAAAGCCAAACCTTAGAGTTTAGTGTCAGTAGTATTATTCCGGTCTCTTCCAATATTCTGCTTCCCTTACTATACATCTTGGGGAATTTGGATTCTTATATAATGAAGAGATTAGTCAGGAAATTTCAGAAACCGCTGACAGGAAAAAATTGAGTTTATCAGATAGTGTGACTCATTTGTTAGCCCGTGATAACGTAAAGAGACAAGAACTGTAAGCAGCAATTATTTGCAATAAAATACTTCCTGCAGGTATTTCCAGCTTCTTAAATAACGAGCATTCATCATTTTAAGTGTTAACAGTAATGCTCTTAGTGGTAGAACTGATCAATGCTGTAACCCTGCCCACTGTTATGTCGTATGTATTGCCATTCATTTTATGTATGTATATGTGTGCATATATGTACATATATCCACATATATATTTTTAGTATTTTATATAGAGTACATACCTTGAGGATCATTGAAACCCTTTCAGTTACTTTGCAGCATATCTACCATCAAAGCTAACATATTCTGCATTGCAAAACACTTACTGAGGTAGGTGTAATGCAACACAATACAAATAAAGAAAGTAGTATGGTCTGCATCTTATGTACTCTGTATATGATCTATGTGTGTTCTGTAAACTTTTTATATAGTGGTTATTTGTAACAGCACTTATAGGTTGTGCAGAGGCAGCGTATCTGAATATAGAGCAATCATGGTAACATCTTAGGAAGACAAACTAGGCATTGTAATATCTCTCAAAGTAGTTTATAAAGCTGGCAGTTTCCAGTGATGATAAATTTATCTTAAATATTTGTCTTTAATACTCAACTGAGGGAAAATTCAGTGCTTATGAAGCTGTTCGTGAAATACAACAGAAGTTTTAAATTACAGTTTGGGGAATTGGACATTTTAGGCTTTGTATGACTCAATTGTGCTTTATTTAGTGTAAAGCTACACAGAAGACTCTAAAATACGATTCGTTTTGTAAATCTTGTTCTTTTTTATTGTCTCTGACGTATCAAGTACACTGGATGGAGATATATGGCAGTTGTATAAAACACTTGCTATATTAAATGTATTCCTGACTTTTGTAAATTCCCAAGTAGATTTCCCTTCTCTCTACAGTTCTGCAACATGCATCCGTGAACCAAAATATGTAGTGTTGGTTCGATGTCTTGATATACTCTTTCTTTGTAGGTTTAAAAGAAGTGGAATTGGCTAAAATGTATAAATTCTTTGTTGTCACAGGGAACAAACCAACAAATTAAAGCACATGAAGCCAGCTCAGCAGTGCAGCATGTTAACTTATTGAAAGAGTGGAGCAATGCTCTAGAAAATAAGGTATATCTTCTACTCACTTCTAATTTTCATTGATTTCTTTAAATCATATAAAAGTACTAGAAGAAGCGCTTTTTTTCTGTTTAACAGCTGTTCAACAGTACAGCTAAAGCATTAGTAGGCTCCAAAAGCAATCAAGCATTTTAGCATATCTGGTACCTTTGTTATAATAAAATGCTGTGAGAAACTTGGCTTCGCAACTCCATATACAATTTTCCTCATTGGTAACTTAATTAAAACACTTTCTTCACATAAACAGTCTAGTATTGAAATTCCTCTCTGAGCTGCCTTCTTACAAAAGGGAGGGTTTGGAAAGCTATGGCAGTGCTGTGAGCTTTATTTTTGCTACCTTGTATTTTTCTAGAGATAACATTATTAGAAATACCATGTAATAAACTGGTTATTTATTTTAGTTTCTTGCTCTCCAAACTTAATGACCTGCAAAGGTTAATTAAATTAAACATATTGTAACTCCTGGGCCTGGTGATTTCTGCTTTAGTGCTAGACCAGAATGGAGTTCATGTTGCAGTGCTTCCTTGGGACTCCTGGTTTTAGAATGTTTGGGATTTGGGAGATGCTGGAAATCATATCAGTGTCAGCTACAATCTTGTGAATCATTTGAATGACTTAAATTTTATTTGGAGAACAGATCATTAAGGCTTTGATTTAAAAACGCAAAACTTCAGAACAAATCACTGTTTTCTTAAATCTTTTTAAAAAGATTACTGTTTTACATAGCCATTACAATAGCGCTTCTGCTTTTGGGGGGTGGGGGTGGAAATCCCAGAATTATTAAACTGTTTTACAAATGCAGGCAGAGGAGTCAGGAGCCCCTTCAGATTTCTCTAGAATGAGTTAAATAAGAGTAGCAATTCCAGTGTAAGCTCAGTGGCAGTTATGATACATGTGGCTTGTGACTTCTGTCATTTCACAGCAGACTGCTAGCTCAAGTTTAGCAAACTCTGTCTAGAAAGTGTATTCCCTTCTTGGCCTACAGTGATCTCTCATGCATGGGTTTCCAGCAAAGTCCTGCAGCCGCAGGAAGTATAGTTTTAAAGCAGAAGTTAACAGGAACAGCAAAATATGATTTTGTCCCCAGCACATTTGTCCCTGGACTGTTTGGTTTTGAACTTGAAGCCCCATAAGGAAACCACTGAACCTGGGAAAAGTCCAGTGTAGGTTTTTTGAGACGATTTTTACTACATGCCTAAGTCTTAGTTTGATGATCAATAACAATGCTTAAGTTTGCTTTTGCATCTGAATATCCTTGTTAATGTAGGAACTGTACATTTTCCATTTTGACAGATAAAAATTCATATCCTTAGTTCTTTTTTCATTAGTCTGATTAAAACCATAGGATTTATTTTACATTATAGGAAAAAACCATGTTCCCTGTGACTTCCAGAATAGATCATGTTCTGCCTTTTGTCAGTGTCCTGAGAGGTGCTTTGTCATTTAAAAAATGCCCAGCAGTTCTATGTTTGTCTCTTATAGAGCTAAGAGAATATACACTTTACTACTCTCTTATGTTCAATTTTCTTTTTTCATTTAGGACATAACTGCTTATCATTGTTTGTCCATTTTTTTTTTTCTTTTCACTTCCTGCTTTGTAGACTTCTTCCTATTCATAATAAAGAGTTGAATCACTGGAAATCCCAAGACCATGCCAAGTTACCAGAATAGCTAACCACATAGCATATGTCAGTGACTTTATTCTAGAGAAGGGTAACAAAATGATTTGTAATTTCGTTGTTCTCTTCTTTGAGAAAAAATTAATGGATGCGCTGAAGAACAGCAGTGCAAAGGTAACTCAGCTGATGAATATCACAGAAATCTTGGCCGTGCTGAAGTTGGTGGAATTCTTGTCATTGGTTTCTGCAGGGTCGAGATTTCGTTAGGGGTACTCACTGCAATATGTATGGAGGGGGAAGGAGAAGTTGCCTTCTCCCAGTCACCATGTTCTTTAACAGTGCTTGTGGACTATGCAGACTGAAAGTCTTCAGAGCTGCAAAGCTTGTGCCGAGTTATGAGTTTGGTATTTGAATGGTGCTGTTGGCAAAGAGTAGTAAGAGAAGGACAGATGTAAAATCTTGAATCAAAACTTTGTGGGGCAAATTAAAATTCAGTGTTTTCACTCTGTGATGAGACAAACCTGCAGACTGAACTCCCACAGGTTTTATGATGTTGGAAATAATGACTTGAACGTAATTTTGTGGCTTCGTCATATTCTTAAAGAAATCTGGTATAAACTTAATATGTGAGTTAAATATGGGACCTGTCTGGTTTAATCCAGTTCTTTGTGGTATCAGAGTGTTTCTTCCATTCTTTTTTAGTAAGCAATAATAAGCAATAGCTTAATTTGAAAAACTGCTGAATAAGAACATGCTTTATCCTAGCAATATTTCAAATATGACAAGGAAGTAAAGGAAGCTGATTGATGCAGTTTGTAAATAGATGCTGTGTTTCCTTTACACTGTTTTTTAACTCAAGTTCCAAAGACTTATGCCAAATGCAATTAGGAAACTATATTTAGTGTTAAAGATTTCTTATTCACAAATTGCCACCAAACTACAATTACTGACTTAGGAATGACAGTTCTGTATCACTAAGGGCTGCAGGACATAATTCTATTTTTCTTGTGTTCTGTAGAACTGCGTGGAAAATCTCAGTACAAGACAGGCCCATGTTTTATAACTTGTACAAAAATGGAAACGTAATGCTAGTGACACAGAGTGTAACTCCCGTATGATTGGGAGGCCTGGGGAGGAAACAATGAGAAAAGGGGAATGTAAAGATCACGATTAACTGAAGAACTCCAATTCATTAAGGAAAAGGAGGATGCAAAAAATTAAAGTGGCTACCCAGCAGATCTGAAATACATGGGAGACAGGGGTACTAGTTCGAATTTAAACTTGTTCTTGAAATTTTTATCATAGCTTTGTCTCATTTCTGCTGAGCCTCTTTGCCAGTTGTTCATCTATAAAATGTGGAACTAATGTAATTATGCACACATGCTCTGCTACATTGAAAGGTAGATATGCACATACATTGCGGTATCTCTGTATATGGGCCCCTGTCCAAAGAACGTGCTGACTGGCTGTGGACTTTGGCAGTTCCTTGGTCTAGCTTAGGTCAGTATAGAGATTGAACCTACTTACCTTTGTAAAGAGGCTAGCTTCTCGGGTCTAGGAATGCAGCGACACAGAAGTTGCTCAACTGTGTCTGACTAGAGGGCAGTTAAGGTGGTAGAATTCTACAGTGGCACCCACAGCAGAGGTAAAACTGGCTTGATTTTAAACCAGCATCTGTATTGGGGGCGGTGGTGTAGATTTTTGGGGGAACATGAAGCATCCAAGTAATTGGTCTTAATGTAGAATATTTATCAAAAGATTTTCATGGGTCAAAAATAGTGCTGCTTCTTATCCATATAAAGATCTGTCTGTGGAACTAGTTAGGGCATGTCCAAATGTCATTTTGTGTCAAGTGTTTGTTTTCTGCGTTTTTGCCACTGAATAATCTTGCCTGGGAAAAATGAGGTTTAAGAAAAAGAAAAAGCAACCCACCACCACAAAGCAACCCCCTTCCCCAAATCACGTTAGTGAACAGAGGCTGAATTAGTGTAATGGAGAATATTTACTCTATTACTTTCATGCCCAAGGAGATAGAATATATGATATTCTTCTAACAAGGCTCATGTTTTAAAATCAGAATGAGTCACTAATGAATGAATTCATAAAACGTCAATACAGAGAGAGAATATAATCCACAGCCTTGTAGATTTTTGGTCTTTTCTACTAGTAGGCACCATTGCATTTTCCTTCAAATGCATGGATCCCTTCTGTATTCACTCATTTCAGGAGTTTCCATCACCATCACATTCTGTGAAGCCAAGCCAATCCCATGCAGATGATGTTTTTCCTTAAATTTGTTAATGATCAGGATAGATTGGAGTAGGTGGGGCGGATTAACGTTTTCCTTTCCCGACTAGCTTTTCAGCTGCTCGGCTTTTCTCTGGTATCTCTTCTGTGCAGGGCTCAAGTTCTTAACACTGATCTAGAGCTAAATAGGTTGTTTTTTCTGAACTCCAAGCAACTCCCAAGTCAGTTAGTGGAAATGAGGAAACAAAGCCATTAAATAACATTAAATAACAAAACTGAATAAAGAAAAGATTATGCTTAGACAGAAGTTCTTTTGCTGTTTCTGTATCCCACCTGCACTTTCATTAGCCAAAGTTGTACTGATACCATGCTGTGGAAGTGCAAAAGTATCTCTCAGAAGGTTGGGGTTGGTTTATTTATTTGCAAGACATGGAGAGAGATTTTACTAGGATCTCATCCCTTTCATGTGTGTAAGATAGTTAAAACTAACGAAGTTATAGGTATTTTTAATAAACTTTGGCAGGAGTAATTGTAGAATTTTTTCCAGGTGGCCTTGCTCCAGAATGAAAGTTTGGAAAAGAACAAGAGTATACAAACTTTACATAATCAGATTTGTAGCTTTGAAATAGAAATTGAAAGACAGAAGGAAATGCTGCGGAATAATGAATCTAAAATACTTCATTTACAGGTAAGAAATTTAGAATCTCCCCATTAAAGCAGAAATGGTAGTAGCTTCTGTTCTGTGCCTTTACACTTGTAAAGTGAGGTGTTCTAATTAAAAAGAGGGTGGGAGAGAGTTTACCTTATTATAAAGCTATTCTGAATTTTTTTTTTTTCCTTCTGGTCAGTATCTGGTTTGTTTTGATACTTCACTAAGACACTGCAGTTACCTAGCCTATGTTAAAATAAAAACCCCTGTTTAAAAAGGGAAAATATTGAAAACAAAATTACAAATCTTATTTGAAGAATAATCATAATTATTTTTTCTTCTCTGCAAAAAATAACTGCTTGAGGAACTACTGTCAAGCTGGAGGACAAGATTAGCACCTTAAAACTGTCATATGTATAATGTATGTTTCTTTTCTACTTGCTGGTATTTTAAAAAATATTAATCATGAGTGAGATCAGTCTGGTGTGGAATTAATCCAAACATAGTACAATGCATTTGAATACACTTTTTAAAATTCACATTTCTGCTGTCCTCCTTCTGAGGAAAATGTATCTAATTATTCCTTTGCCAGGAGGTCTGAGTTTCTTACTCTGTGGTCTGAATCACCTGGCCACAAGCCAGCATCGGCCTAGAAATCCTCTGGATGCACTAGCATGGTGCTTAGCCCAAGCTTGAAATGCTTTGCTTTGCATTCAGAGCTAACTTGGAATGTGGATGCTGGGAATTTGTGTTAGCTTGAGTGGTACTGACCACAATTAGGGAAATCTCGGGGGAGATACTTAGCGAGCTATTATGCAGGTATCATTTACACATTATTTTAGTATGTCTGTTGATAGAATATCAAATACCTGCTTTAGCATCCAGCTTAAAGGAATGTAAATAAATTTTATCTTTTTCACTTACTAGTCACTTCACATACTAAACTGCAAATGTTGATATTCAAGAAAGATACAAGTATCCAAACTAGAGTATGGCTAAAATTCAAAGGGTAGCACATTCAAGGACTCAAGACCCTCAATGTTGGTTTATAAGGAAACCTTTAACTTTGGCAACAGCAACATTTCTCCTTATAGCACTTATTTCTTTCAATGTTCTGCCCATGTGGTAACCAGTTTAGCCTGTCTTAGTCATTGTTATTTGGTCTGATAATAGCCTGGGATATGGCTGCATGCTTGCAATATTGCATTCTGACACTGGGAAGCTAATCCTTGTATGTATTGATATTGCTGATTGAATCTACCAGGAGGTAAGTTAATTTGTCAGCCTGGGGTTTTTACACATGCTGTCTCAAAAACCAGTGATGAGAGGGGAAATGGAAAAAATGTAGAGCAGAATTTTTTCGTGATTGTCTTGATGACAGATTGCAATATCTTTGATTTCCTCAAGCTGTACATCTTGGCAAAATCAATTTTCAAATGGTTTACGTTAAGAAAAAAACCCACACAAAACAGTACGTTTGGCAGACTCCAACAGGTAGCTTTTTTGTGGTAATAAGTATTGGAGAGGATGCGTTTTGCTCCTTTTTTTTCTCCCCCACCTCCCTTTACTACTACTCGCCAGTGGCTGTTTTAGTTTAGTTATTTTAAGCCATACTGTGTTTTACAGCTGTTTGAACCTGGTGCCTTCCACTTACTGGAACTTCCTGGGTCAGTCCAGTTGTTAAGGACATCCTGGAATCACACCTCAGTTTGTTTTTCCCTGGACAGTATGATTAGCCTCCTTCTGTTGCCTGCTAGGAATTGAAGGAATTAGTTACCTGTTGAGAGCCATTCTGGTTCTGGGTTGCACTGAGCAGCCATGGCTATACGAGAGCCACAGATATTTCCAGTGTAGAACTGGACAAGCATCAGGTCTGGACAAGCGTTATTGGCTTAGTCCCCTAAGTCCTATGCATGCTAGTAATTCCTAGTACAGTTTCAGTATTGGTAGTCATGTAACCTTCTTTGGCTTGGGAACAGCTGTTTCATGGAGCACGGCTGGCATCATCTGTGCTGTGAGGCATTTAATGCAATTACTGTAAATGCATCAAAAGTGGGCACTGGCAGGAACCTCAGCCTTGAGATGTTTTGATTCATATTAATTTTCATATACTGATCTCTAGGGAGACTGTTTCTACCAAGCGAGTATGTGATACTTTTTTGACTGCTGTCTTATGGAAAGGAACTTTCACATCCAGTATCCAGTCTTTCTCATGAGTATATGGAAGCATACTAGTAAGCCAAGTCTTAAGCTGAGTGTGGACATGAGGTACTTAAAGACAAAAGAAACAGTGACCTTATGAATATGAAATTATTTGATTGGTAATACATTCCTTCAGAGGAGGAGGATGTATGATTTGTTTTCCCAGTCAAGTAGTACTTTTGGTTCCTTTTCTAGTGTGTTCTTTAGCTTTTCTTTGGTTTTGCTCCATCAGTTGCAATGGAAAGGCCCATTAGGAACATCTGAGAGAGACACAACTGCGAATATAATGTTCTTCAGTTTTCTAAATTCTTTTAGTAATAATAGTGCTAAAATTCTGGAAATTGTTTATTAGAAATACCAAACAATACCTCGATGAAAGTCAACGTCAAGAAGAGCCCTCAATGGTTTGCCAGGCATATAACTCTGGATTAATGATCTGGAGAGGTCAGTTGCTGGAATAAAAAGTGCATGCAGAAAATTGATATCTACTTGAAAATTTATGAGTACAGTGTGAGACATCTGTGTGCTTTCTAATGGAATAATTAGAGGGAGTGAAATTCTCCACTGCTGCATTAAATTCAGATTTAGTACATCAGTATCTCCCAGTGTGAGGGAGGTTGACTCCCTGTAGGGTAAAAAGATAAGAGATCCCACTGCTTTTTAAAAACTGAATGCAAGTCTATTTCTGATTATTCTACACCTTTCGAGTTCTCATGAAGACGTACAGGAGATAAAAACCTACACTTGCCAACATGTAGTAGAAACAGCTAAAAGCCGTAATTGGTTGTGCGTGTACAAAGGTAGAACGTTGCACACAGGTTGATGGAGAGAAGTTGGTCCCTAGTAACAACTTCTAGTAAACTTCTCCCAAAAGAAGAACAACTTAGAATTCTTTTGCATCTTTACCACTTTCCCAATTCATTTAAAAATGTGTTTATTCATTTTGTTTGATACTGTGTTAGTGCCAAGAGGTCCCAAGTGGAACTTAGAGCATCTCTGTACGAGGCAATGTGCAAACCTATAACCATGTAACTGTTCTTGCCTTGGAGAGTTCACATGAGTGAGTAGAGGAAAAAGATCAGACTTGGGCACACCTTGAGTTTACTTTTGCATGTTAACTGTGAACGAATGGCCAAATCTTGCAGCTCTGCTCTTACAACATTCGTTCAGGCCATTCCATGGTGTGCTTCCTTTTGTATGTGTAGCTAACAGCCCTTCCTAATTTTATTTTCTAATTACTATCAGTCCAAGTGAGAGGGTGTGACTGTGTTGGTAACTGATGATCAGTATGTCCAGGCAAGTTGCTTAATCTAATGGGACCCCTGCATTTATGATTCAGTACACAACTTCCCTTCACAAAGTCATAATTTTGCAAGTGAGATATATTAGCTCGTTTTAAAACACAAACATAGAAATAAATAGTTAATCTTGAAATGCATTAGATTACTCAGTGGTTTTGAGACACAACAAAATGAAACACTCCTAGAACATGACTTTGCTACCTGGCTTATCAAAATGACAGCCTTTAATTAATTGTTACAGACTTTCAGTATAACTGAAACCACATGATTAAAAGCAAATGCCTAAAAGGGGAAATGAAGGTTGCATGAGCCAGAAGGGTTTTCCCCATCAGTGGGGAACATTGAATCCACATGGCTAACCAGAAGGCAAATGCAAAATAACTATTTTCTTGTTTTGTACTCAACTGCTACATTTTTTTAAGAAGTGAAAAATCATTTTTACACGTTGGCATATATGATAATAAACTAAGAAGTTAGATCTGGAATTTAACTGTAGGTGGTAGCAAAAGTAGTTTCTTGTCTCAAATATTTGTGTTATCATTTGAACTTCACAACTGATTATGGGGTTCTGGCTAAAATTCCTGCTAGTCCAAATTAGCTGTGGTAACATAAAGTGCTATGTATTTCTTGCATCAGATTTGAGGTAGACTGGGAAATATGTTCTCCTTTATATTTGTAATATACTGAGGTGCTTGCAATGTCCCTTTTTTGGAGAATATCAACCTTTTTGTGCTTTGTTGTTTTTTTTTTTTTTTTTTCTTGAGTGCTATATTTCATGCCTTGCCAAAATCAACTGGGTTTTTTTCCTTGTTTTCTTAAAAAGACTCAACCAGCAAGCACTATCACGACACGTGACTTACTCAATTTAGGAAGTAAGGGTGGGAATTTTGAAAGTGCTTAAGTGCTGACCAGAAATGGTAGTTTTGCTTATGCTCTTGAGGGTTTCTGCTGTGGTTATGGGCACGTAATAACTTAGGCTTTGATAACTGATCCATGTGAGCTTGGAGCTTGCTAATGCCGCTGTATCTGCACATCTGCCCCATGTGTGCAGGGGTACCGATGTTTTTCTGGAGGGGTAAGTTATTTTGCTGTAACCCAATGATAAACGCAGGCACATGAGCAGCCACTTGATTCACACCATGGTAAGTTGTTGTTGTGCCCATACTTTGTTGCTTAAGTACTCTGACACGAAACCCAACAAATATTAGCCCATAATATCAATATAGAGATGTTCAGAGTATTGTTCTTGAAGTGAAAGGTTTTTAAAAAAAATTTAGATGAGCACACTAACAATTCTCTTTTTTTCTTTAAATAATTGTGTTGATAATTCTGGTAGTGCTCTAATAATAATACCTATGCAGCACTAAGTGTTTTATAAATCCTTGAAATATTCCTCTAAATGTTTATGTTACTAAAATATTTGACATAAGTGAAACTTGTTTATATTGGAAATGCATGTTGTTATCAGTACATAATCCATGTTTAATTTGTATAAATTAATGTATTTTTGTTATTTTTAACTCAAAACTTACTGTTTTATAAAGCGAGTGATAGACAGTCAAGCAGAGAAACTGAAAGAACTGGACAAAGAAATCCGTCCCTTCCGACAGAACTGGGAGGAGGCTGACAGCATGAAGAGCAGCGTAGAATCCCTCCAGAACAGAGTGACTGAGCTGGAAAGTGTTGATAAAACTGCAGGGCAAGGAGCTCGAAATACAAGTAAGTGTAAGCACAATGGACTGAAGTACTCGTCAGCGTTGTCAAGAGAAAAATTACGTCCTTTGAATGGCACTCCCGTTGTGATTATGTGGAAGCAGGAATAATACTGATTCTTCTGATTTTTGAATAGGAAACTGCGTAAGCCCTTTGATGTGGCATTGCTTCCACGCTGTTTATTAGGCTTGACTCTTTTCTTTTATTTTCTTGACCCTTGTCTTGATGACAATGTTAGTTCATTATAAATAGTTTCTCAACTGATCTTTGACAGCTAATGGCTTTCAGCAGCTTCTTTAAATACAGTCTTGGTATACTGACAAGTCTTCTTTTATTACTCTTCTCCCCCATGAATGGATCAACAGTGTGGTTATCCACCTGAAACCACCTGTCCTGATATCTGTTACAGAAGTATATATGATCTAAATAAAACTGAGAGATCTGCTTGAGAATAAGGTTATTGTCGTGCTTGCTGAATAAAGAGAAAACTGGTGTTTAGCAAGATAGTGTAGATCATATGAAAGTGTTTAAATGATTGGGACAAAGAACGTTCAAATGGATCGGTATAAAACAAACCTGCCTTATGAATTCATCTGCTTCTCAGTATTGTATGTTGGCCAATTTTGCCAGCGTGCAAAGAGAAACATTTTCACCTGAGGGGAAAGGGGACATTAAAAACAGCCCTCTCTCTCCAAACTAAGTAAGTCACCATCTAATGCAGAGCTAAGCTTGAATTTTCTCTTCTTTTATGATGAACCTTAGACAAGGTAACAGCACTACGCTTCTGAGACAAGTAGTGTCTGAGAAAAGTACTTTGAGTGATCAGCGATGCTTCTGAATTTCAGAGGGATTACGTAGGATGTGTGACCACTTCCCAAGGTCTTCACTGCTAATGGCAATCTACAGATAACGCTACCAAGTGTCCTCTCAAAAAATGGAAGCCGCCGTAGTTATATTGCTTAGTGACCAGACAAATTATGTTAGAAGACTTGAATATTTGGCTTTTACTGCATGTGTGATTAACACCCATGTTTGTAAAAAAATCCCAGTTTACCTAGGTACTAGCTGGCAAATAGCTGCATCGGTGACCAAATGCACTTTGCTTCTTGGGGAAGAAAATGTTTTCATATACAATAGCAGCAATGGCAATTGATTTTTGCAGTCCTTAGAAAAAAACACTTCTCTCACCCTTGTCCTTTCTGTTTTCTGACAGGCCTGCTAGAGACACAGCTGAGCAGACATGATCAGATGCTGAGTGTTCATGATATTCGGCTGGCTGACATGGACCTCCGATTCCAAGTTTTAGAAACTGCCAGTTACAACGGAGTATTAATTTGGAAAATTCGAGATTATAAACGTCGGAAGCAAGAGGCAGTCATGGGGAAGACTCTGTCCTTGTACAGCCAACCCTTTTATACTGGATACTTTGGCTACAAGATGTGTGCCAGAGTTTACCTTAATGGAGATGGCATGGGAAAGGGGACGCACTTGTCGCTGTTTTTTGTCATAATGCGTGGAGAATACGATGCGTTGCTTCCTTGGCCCTTTAAACAGAAAGTGACTCTCATGCTAATGGATCAGGGACCGTCTCGACGCCACTTAGGAGATGCTTTCAAGCCAGATCCAAACAGCAGCAGTTTCAAGAAGCCAACTGGAGAAATGAACATTGCATCTGGCTGCCCGGTCTTTGTGGCTCAAACTGTTCTAGAGAATGGAACGTATATTAAAGATGATACTATTTTTATTAAAGTCATAGTGGATACATCGGATCTACCAGACCCCTGACATACAATGGGGGAGGCGGATTAAACAGAAGACGACTCCGTTTGGGGTTTTTATATCAGTTTGTCTTCAATCAGAGGTCCTAAAGCTCACAGAACCACCTTGTGGAACAGACGGAAGAGTTTGAAGGCATAACTGCATAGGGTCCAATTGCGAAAGTAGCAACACATTAAGAAATCATACCATGGTATATTTTTTAATAGAACTAGCAACACTTAAGCTCTGAAGAATCACTTATCCCTCATGAGGATAATGGTTATGGTCAGAGAGGATATTTTTTTTTTTTTTAACTTATTAATGATCTAGTCAATTGGAGGTGAAAAGACATATACAGTATGTGCTGAATAAATTACTGACTTTTATTTCTTTAAGCTAGAATACAAAAACAAAAAAAACTTCACACGTGGGCTAGCTGGAAACTGTCAGCATGTTAAAAGAAGAAATGATGAAGTAATGTTGCAATTATGATATTATTTGAAAAACTGAGGTGCAATCTTGTCTGAAATATACTATATTGTCTTTTTAAGGCCTCATCTGGTCTCTGTTTTAAGAATTACTTTGTCAGAAGATCTTGGAGAAGTATCCATGTCTTCTCAAAAGTATCTGAATCAAAATCATATTTTTATTTAAAGTTCTATTGTTACAGAAAACATTTTATTTTAAAACTGTTGATAGACTGATATTTCTTGGAAGAAAAATAGAAGATATCAAACACTGGTTATCACTTGTGATAGGAAAAAAAACTATTCAATTCTGTTATTTCTCTTTAGAAATGTAAACCTACAATATATGTCGTAGTTAATGACACTATTTCAAAATTAAGGAAAAATCACTCATGGATGCTGTGCATCATTATCAGATTTATAATTGTTTTCACCCTAAAATAGGGCATTTGTTGAACTTTGGAGTTCTAAACGGAATCCTGTACATTTTTTAAAGTTCTGCCCCATGCTTTCCAATCAAGCTATATATGTTGCACATTATGCTGTCAGCAGTATATAGTATTTTCAGTATTGGGGAGGAGGATTAGTGCTGAAAAAAGCCTATATGTTTGTTCTGTACTAGCAGCCATTGCTTCTTAAGGACAAATCAGCAATGTCTTAATCCAGTGATGGTGGCTTGCATGCATACATGTGCCTTAGATGTGCTGTGCTGCTTATAAACCATAGCTTTTTATTCAGATTAATTCTGATATCTGAAATGGTAGTTTAATTGGACTTCAGGCATAATGTTTAGCCTTGTCTTCAGAGCCCTTAGGTACCTTGCCATGTACAAAATAGAAGCCAAAGCCCATTTCTTTGGCTTCTGGAGCTTCTATGACTTGGCCGTGGTGGAATCCATCTTATTCAGGTGCCAAAACGTTATGCTCAGTGCTCCTATGGAGCTTGGACTAGAGAGTCTCCATGGCCACTGTGAAGGCAGGTGACATTTTTCCTCTAATGCCTGTGGTTGTAAGGTGGCATCACTTGAAAAGAACCCATCTGAGAACTCCGTGGGGCTGTGAGCGTATATGCTCATGATGGCTTTTCATAGCAGACAAGCATCCTAACAGGGAATGCACAGGCGGCTTCTTATAACAGCCTGAACTGTAGTGGAAAGCATTTGCTAGCCCTGAAACATGCTGATTGCAACCTGCTGTGTTCATCTGCTTCTATTTAATAGCCTGTGACAAGCAAGTCTAGAGACGTAGCCTGACTGTGGTGCTCTTTAAAATCCAAGTACCTCTTAAGCAGAGAACGGACTTGCACCACTGTTTTTAGCCTTCGTGGGCTTGAAAGAAAACATTGCATCTCAGCCTTTAATGTCAGGTTGTATCAGTTTTCTGCTTTTTGAGGCATAGTCACAATTTTTGTCTAAGGTGCAGTTGAATTCATGCCTTTGTATTTCAGCTTGTCTTTTGCTGTTGTCTTTTTTGGCTGTGCCTTCACACACAGTGCCTGCAAGAAGTATTTATGAATATACAATGCATGCTAAGTGGTCTTCATGGGTTTTCCAGGCACCTGCTAGAATACTGCCTGCTGCTGACCGTCGCAACCGTCAGCAGCAATTTGTCTTCCTTTTCTTGCCTTCCATTGTCCAGGTACTGTACTCCCTTTATGGTACATAGCTGTCAACAGGTGCAAGCTCAAACATGGAGGCACGTGCTAGTATTTAACGGCTAGCACGGGAGGAGGACGTTCTGCACAAGAGATAAATATCTATAGATATACCCACATCTATATCTCTAGATATAATTATATGGCACTTGCAGTTTTATGCAGGCTGCATAAGCAAACCCATCACTTGCGCTTTAGGGAGAAGGTTCGCTCAACTTGTGTCATTTTAATAATTGTGAATGTAGGCAGCTGAGCTTTTGTGTTTGTGCATCACAGAATTTTACTGAAAACAGGATTCCCAAGTGGAAATGTCCAAAGGACTCTCCTCCCATTGCTAATGCATGTCTGGTAAACTTAAATGAAACCGTTTGGCCATCTCAAAACAGTTTATATCCTGTTTCAATCTGGGACTTGGAGGAGACTTCTAGTATAAGCAGGGCCCAGCATATTCTGCAGATTTGTGACTACAGTTTCCAACTCCTGTGACAGAATTGCGCTTCTAAATCCAGGCTCTTTAAAAGAGGAGGAAAAAAGAGTTTCCAGCCTTTGTGGTTGAAAGAGGACGTTGAAACATACGAAAAGTGTAAACTACTAGGGAAGTCTTCCTGAGTCTGCACACAGCCTAAACTAGTAGCTTTAAGAGATCTGAATATCTCCTCTTAGTGGGATATTGACTCAGAAACTTCATAGAGAAGTTTAAATATGAACACTGCTAACTATATTAATGCCGATCACTGTAGCAGAAACATCAGTCACTGTTGTATTTCACAGATCTCTATGCTGCTTTCCACATCTCCCAAGTGCCAAAAGCACCAGCTGCCAGAATCTTCAGCTTCACTTGGGCAGCTTTTATAATGCAGTAATGTGCTATCGATATAAAAATATTTTTGCATATATGCTTTTTATCACAGTTAATAAAATGGAGGCCTACTGCACTTATTTTTTAAAACTACATGAAGCTGCCAGAGAATTTCCAGTTTGCCAACCTTGCGTACTGTGAAATCCAGGATCTTGCTACACAAACGTAGACACCGCCTGCTGTGGAATACCTGAAGCCTTGACTGTAACACCCCTTTCTCCGCAGAACTCGCGGGCCATCTCTGTAGAGTTCTTACTGTGTACATAGAAATCGGTTTCCTCTGCTTTCCAGCAAGGAGTATGTAGCATTTTTGAAAACAAGGCCACTGTATATTCTCTAAATTGAAAGGAAAAGATACCTGGTGCTTTACTCAACACTTTAAATTATTTAACTTTTTCTCTTCACTGAAATGCCCTTTATCCTTTTTTCTGTATGTTCCTGACCCAGATATCCAAAGTTTTCTAGGGACCGTCTGTTTAAAGTGATCCATGGGGCGACGGTCTGCCCCCACAAATACTCTTGAGCCCGGGCTAACTCCTGTGGTGTGCCATTATTGCAAGTGGGTCCCAGAGTATTTGCGCTACTTTGAACAGAGTTTCTTCAACGGAACCTTTTTTTCCTCTGCTTAGTAATTCTTAGCAGCGCACAACTGAAGTCTCTTGCTGGTATTGTTTCTTACCGATGACGCTCCCAGTTATGTACAAGCCTCTTCCGTTTCCAGCTTTCTCTAGGGAGATTCCAGTGTGTGACAATCTGGATGTTGCCCTTTCCGTACACTCTTCAGCACAGGGTGAGTGCATCTGTTACCTAGAAAGTCTTGAATTCTAAACAGGATGAAACTATTTGGGTGTTTAAAGACCAACCTGCGATTATGATGCATGACCACGTCTGCATTACTTCTCTGATCTAATTAAAGGGGTCTTGTTTCAGTTACTGTCTACATGGTACACCTTCAACTGCTGACTTACAATATGCAATGTTGATTTCAGCCTTGTACTGTAAATGTTGTTCTTCACAAAGAGAATGTGCAATAGGAAAAGGGGATGATGGGTGGCATAATTTTGACGGAAAAAACAATGTTGTGGGTAACATGCTAGATTTCGTATAAATATGAAATACAGTTGTATTTCCTTTTCCTGTGGGTTTCCCTACTTGGAAAAGGAAAGTTGAAGATATGTGCCTGTTTCTGTGCCTGGTGAATTTCTCAAATGCAAAGGTACTAGAGATTTGTGTTCGTTGTAATTTAAGCGTTGAACCCATGAATGTTAGGTTGTGATTGTACCGCTCGTGTTTCTCGGCTTGCCATGATTGCGGCTTGCTGAGATGGAGTTTAAAAGCTACCACCTATTTGTATCTGTATTCCATCACGTGGGATAGGCATTTCACCAACAATGCAGGGTTTCTGTTCTTGTTCTGTTTCCTTTTTAAAACACTGGTGCTGTTTGGTCCAAGACGGAGGAGCGTGTAGGCAGTGACAA